GGGGGGAGGGGGAGTTGCAAGGAACACCAAATGCGGTGAGCTATTGGGGGGACCTTTATGTCTTACTGCAGAGAAAAGGAAAGAAATCACTATGCTGCCCCAGCTATGAATCTGGTTTTCAATGGGTGACCCCTTGCCTTTTTCTCAAACATATCCATATGGAGCCCACGCTAGCAGGTTTGTAACCCAAGGACCATCCAAGAAATCTTGTCCTGTCCTGAACATCAGCTGCTCTGGGTCCTTTGCACACTATGCCTTTGTTTCAAAAAAACTGAATTCCTCTAGTCATTTTAGATGAGGTAGTGCATCCTTCCATCACTTACTGCTACTCCAGCTAGGTCCAAATTCTGCTAATCTGCACACAGACCACTTCATTATGAGCCTGCCTTAGTGAATGTGAGGTACAAGACAATATCAGCTTGAGTAGGACCCCAATTCTCAATCTCCCCCATCGGCACCTAGGTTGGGTTCTTGGTGATAATGCTCGAGTCCAACCCTAAAGCATTTCACTTCCACAGAGTTAGATTTATCTCAGCTCCAAATACTTGACTTTCTCTGTTGTTATGGTTTGTAATTAGGTGTCCCCCCAAAGCCTCATGCAGTCTTGGGGCATCTTCTGTAGTTTGTGATTGATTACTATGCGTGTGGATGCTGCACCTGCCCTGGGGCAGGTAATTTGCATTATAATGTTAGGCGGGAAGAGAAGCTAGCTGCTTGAGCTGCTGCTACCTGTCCCTTTGCTCTTGCTCTTTGCCTCCACCATGAAATGTTGCCCTCTGCTATGTGCTGCTTTGCCTTGGACCCAGCTGAATATGGACTGAAATCTCCACTAACCTTGAGCTAAATAAACCTTTCCTTCCTTCAATTTGGGTGTCAGGTATTTGTCCCAGCAACGAGAGAAGAGTAACTAAGACACCTGTCATCCCCCTATTCAAACACTTCAGACATTGAGACTAAAGATTGTGAAATTATGCTTCCCTGGTAAGTTTTGCTTAACTATTTAGTTATTTTTAAGTACAGTTTGTAAAATTCATACCTAGCTCCTAAATGGTGGAAATTATACATTATTAAATCTCTCATTATTGTAGTAACAAAATTTGCAGGAAGGATCCAGATCCATGATTTGATAAATTATAGTATACCTATAGAGCAAAGTAGGGATTATGCAAAACAGAACCTGATATTGCTTTCTGTTAGTTGTGATTGTCCAATAGCATCGTGTCTTTTATGTAGTATTTAAAAAATGTTCTCAGCTAGTGTCCATGAATGGTATATGAAATGTATTAAGTGAAAAAAAATTTTACTGTGAAAAGTTATGATTGTTATT